CCAGTTTCCAACCACCCTCTGGGTGAAGAACCTTTTTCTAATATCCAACCTAAACCTCCCCTGACACAACTTCAGGCCATTCCCTCAGGTCCTGTCACTGGTCACCACAGAGAAGTGATCAGTGTCTGCCCCTTCTCTTCCCTTCACGAGGAAGTTGTAGACTGCAATGACTCCCCTCAGTCTCCTCCAGGCTGAACAGACCAAGTTACCTGAGCCATTCCTCATACAGCTTCCCCCTCAAGGCCCTTCACCATTTTAATTGCCCTGGTTTGGATGCTAATAGTTTAATATCTTTCTTACATTGCAGTCACCAGAGCTGCACACAATATTCAAGGTAAGGCCACACCAAAGCAGAGTAGAGTGGGACCATCACCTCCCTTGACCGTCTGGCAATACTGTGCTTGATGCATCCCAGAATATGGTTGGCCCTCCTTGCTGTCAGGGCACACTGTTGAATCATATTCAACTTGCCATCAACCAGGACCCCCAGATCCCTTTCTGCAGGGCTGCTCTCTAGCCTCTCGTTCCACAGTCTGTACAGATATCCAGGGTTGTCCCATCCCAGGTGCAGAATCTGGCACTCATCTTTGTTAAACATTGGGGATTGCCCAGCCCTCTAATTTGTTACAGTTCCTCTGCAGGTCCTCTGCCTTCAAGGGAGTCAGCAGCTCCTCCCAATTCAGTGTCATTGGCAAACTTAGTATTTATTAAGACAATTAAGAGCAGTGGCCTAAGAAAGAGTCCTGCAAAACCCCACTAATGACTAGACTAATTAATTGGTTTTGTGGTCCTGGCTGGGTGGCCTATAGTAGACTCCCACGATGACATCCACTATATTTGTTTGTCCCTTAATCCTTACCCAGAGGTTCTCAACCAAGCCATTGCCAACTGCAAGCTCTTTTGTGTGAGTTGACACAGGCAGGCAGCCAGAACAACCACAAACTCATGGCTAGAATAAAAAGAATCAATTTATCTCTGTTATCTCACTAACTGGGTAATCCCCAAAGCAAAACCCAGGCAGAAGCACTCAAGTGGAGACACAGGCACCATTAAACTTGGTCTATGACAGAGGATCACTGGCCTGCTTTTCATACAGGCTTATCTAGAGAAATTCCCAGCTGCAAGGTCACTTGACCTATTTACAATCTGCCTTACCAGTTTTCTGCTTTTAACCCATTCCTCCCAACGTCCATACATTCCAGCCCATCCATTACATACTATGCCCCTCCCCCACCTTGCCTGCTCTGCCTATCCCTCCTGAAGATACTGTAACCATCCAGCATGGCACACCAGTCACAAGACCCATCCCACCAGATTTCACTTATGCCAATGGTGTCATATCTCTAGGACTGGACCAAGGCTTCAAGCTCCTCTTGCTTGTTCCTCATGCTGTTCATGGTGGTGTAGAAACATCTCAAGTGCAGTTCAGCATAGCCAACAACTCATGGAGCAGAATGAAGGATCTCACTAGTACTCAGTCCCTCCAATTTTGGCATGTCCCATTGCTTATCACTGGCAGGTCTGGTTTTGTCCCTTTCCCCCCTTCCAATCTAGTTTAAAGCTCTGTCAATCAGCCCTGCTAAGTCCTGAGCTTCTCATTAACCAACATCCCCAAGTCTTTCTCCTCAGGGCTGCTCTCAACCCATTATCTGCCCAGCCTGTATTTCTGCTTGGAATTGCCCTGACCCACATGCAGGACCTTGCACTTTGCCTTCTTGAATTTCATGAGCTTTGCACAGGCCCACATTTCAACCCTGTTAAGGTCCCTCTGGATGGCATCCCATTTCTCCAGTGTGTCAACTGTACCACACAGCTTCATTTCATTGACAAACTTGCTGAGGGTGCATTCTGTCCCACTGTCCATGTCGCTGACAAAGATGTTAAACAGCTCCGGTCCCAATACCAACTCCTGGGGAATGCCATTTGTCACTGGTCTCCACTGGACATTGAGCCATTGACCCCAACTCTTTGAGTGCAACAATTCAGCCAATTCCTATTGTATTTGTGGGACCTCCATGGCAGGAAGGAATGATGAATCTGACTCCATGTTCTCAGAATGCTAATTTATTATTTTATGATACTATATTATATTAAAGAATACTATACTAAACTATACTAAAGAATACAGAAAGGATACTTACAGAAGGCTAAAAAGATAATAATGAAAACTCGTGACTCTCTCCAGAGTCCCAACACAGCTTGGCACTAATTGGCCAAAGAGTGAAAACAACCCACACCAGAAACCAATGAAACAATCACCTGTTGGATAAACAATCTCCAAACACATTCCACATGAGCAAAACAGAGGAGAAGCAAATGAGATAATTGTTGTTTTAATTTTTCTTGGAGGCTTCTCGGCTTCTCAGGAGAAAAATCCTGGGCAAAGGGATTTTTCAGAAAATGTGAATGTGACAAATTCCTTATTCACCAAGTGGTCCACCTGTCAAATTCACGTCTCTGCAGTTTAGAGACAAGGATGTTGCGTCAGATAGTGTCAAATGCTTTGCACAAGTCCAGGTAAAGTCAGTTGTTCTTCCCTTATCCATCAACACTGTAACCCCATTACAGAAGGCCACCAAATTTGTCAGGCAGTATTTGCCCTTAGTGAAGACATTTTGGCTGTCACAAATCATCTTATTTTCCATGTGCCTAAGCATAGTTTCCAGGAGGATCTTCTTCATGATCCTGCTGGGCACTGAGAAGAGACTGACTGGCCTGTAGTTCCTCAGGTCTTCCTTATTTCCCTTTTTAAAATTGGGGATTATGTTTTCCCTTTATTCAGTCAGTGAGAACTTCACCGGACTTCTCAAATATGATGGGTTGTGGCTTAGCAACTTCATCTGCAAGTTCCCTCAGGACCCATGGATGCATCTCATCATCAGGTTCCATGGACTTGTGCATCTTCAGGTTCTTTAGATGCTCCTGAACTTGATCATCTCCTACAGTGGTTGGTTCTTCATTCTCCCAGTCCCTGCCTTTGCCTTCTGTGACTCAGGCAGTGTGGCTGAAGCACTTGTCAGTGAAGACTGAGGAAAACCGTCATTCAATACCTCAGCCTTCTCCATATGTTGGGCTACCATATCTCCTGTTTCCTTATGGAGAGGGTCCACCCTTTCCCTAGTCTTCCTTTTATCATCAATGTACCTATAGAAGCTTTCCTTGTTGCCCTTGACATCCCTGGCCAGGTTTAACTCTCTCAGGGCTTTAGCTTTCCTAACCTGATCCCTGTCTGCTCAATCTCTGTATTCCTCCCAGGCTAGTTGTCCCTGCTTCCACCCTCTGTTGTCTTCTTTTTTGTGTTCAAGTTTTTCCAGGAACTCCTTGTTCATCCACACAAGGCTCCTGTCATTTTTGTTTGACTTCCTCTTCTCTGGAATGCATTGCTTATGAGCTCAGAAGAGGTGATCCTTGAATATCAACCAGCTTTCTTGGGCCCCTTTTCCCTCCAGGGCCTTATCCCATGGTACTCTACCAAGCAGATCCCTGAAGAGACTAAAGTCTGCTCTCCTGAAGTCTGAGAGACTTTATTTTTATAAAGAAAAATCATAAAACATGTTCTGTTAGTTTGTTGTAGGTTTTGGTTTGGTTTTGGTGTTTTGGTTTTTTTTTTAAATTTAGTCATCATAATGTTATGGTAGGAAACAATAAATTTTCGTTTTAGCTACAGTGATTTTTCTGGCCAAATTTAAATCCTTAAAAATACATTTCAGAAAAATACATTTTATGATGATATATGTGCCAAATGTCTCACTTTCTAAGTAGTCAGGGGAAAAGTGGTAGTGACTAAAGATGAGATTTATTTTTTTAAAGAAAAAAGATCAAGCATAGCATTTTAAAGTCTAAAACTAGGATTTTGGTATTACATTAACAAAAGATCACTTACATTTTAATTTAAATAAGGGAATGCTTCAAAGCATTTGAATGAAGAAGTCAGCAATTTAATATTTTGTATTTAAATATTAAATTGCAACATGCTACATGTTGTCTTTATTTTTTTCTCATAAAATTGTCTTGCAATAGGGCTAATGTATCTCCTGAGTTATTCAGTCTTTTCAGTTTTATAAAAGAGTGTATTGCTATTTTAAAGTAAATTCCAGGACATCTCATAATGTGGCTATTAGGATGTTGGAACCAGCAGTCATAAATCAGGGGCCTTGAATGATTGTTACCTTTTGGAAAGGCAGATTTCCTCTTGCTTGTGACTGATCCCCATCCAGAGTGCTTTTTGTGAGTGCTCAGCACTTTGCAAAGGATAGCTGCATGGCTTGAAAGGAGTAGTGAGTCATTAAAACCAAAGATCACAGACAAAGGCTCTCTAACTAGTCAAATTTAAAAAGTGGTATGTTTATTAACACTGGCAGGCGGCATGGGAGTCGTCCCCAAAAGGCATGACCACGCTGCACAAGGTTCTTTGTCCTCTATTTAATAATTTCCTGAGACCTTACATACAATACATATGCATAACCCCAGCACCTCCCATCCTTGCTCTGTATTAAAATGAGGTTATTAGCTCTTCATGCGTGTGCAATTCTTCTCTTGAATTGGGTCGGTGGTCTTGAATTGGGTCAGTGGTCTTAACAGATGAAGTCAGGAATGTCTTCATCAGGTCTCCATGACCCTCTGGCACAATCTAAGGCCCCCTGCTTTGTGATTGATTGATGTAAAGCCCAGGTGCTAACCATTGTTCTATTGGTTTCAATATGTTCTTATAACGGGTCACTTACTCCACTTCCTTCTACAAACAAGCTCATAATGGCAAACAATATAACAATCAGCTCTAGCTTAAGCATCTAATAATCATTAACCTATCATCTACGTATTTACCTTACATTCTGATCAAAATTAATTGCTTCTAACCCTCAGCTGAAATCTTTTTGAAATCATGCTTCAGTAGAGGTTGGTTTTGGAATTTAGAAATATGCGAATGTCATTAGCTTAAATGGAGAAATAATCAATTAAAACAGTGCTCATATATCAATGTCTTGCATTTTAAATTTTAGGAATCCGATCATGGGATACAAGCTTGATTGAATGCAACTTGGATCAAGAATTAAGACTTTTTGTATCCCGCCATTCAGCTCGATTCTCTCCTGAAATTCGAGGTGAGATTTTGGAAATGTTGGTCAAAGTTTTATATGTTTTTTTAATGAGCAGAATTAACAAATACACTCAGGTATTGGGTGGTCCTCTTTCATTTGTGATTCTCTACAATGAATACTTTTTTCTTTGTTTAAAATAAAGCCTGAAAATTATAGTTCATTTTAGCTTTCTGACAACAGGAAATCTGAAAGATTCAAATAATCAGCCTTTTAGGTTAGCTTCATGTATCTCACCACAATTATTTTAGCAGTAGATGTTAGTTTTAGGCCACTTTTAAAGTTAAGTGAAACTCACTTTTTGACTGAACAGTTTGTTTGCGTAGCATCAATCTAGTAGTCCTGGAGACTGAAGCTGTTCCTCACTGTGGTAGGTAGAGCACATACAGAAAATAACCTGAAAGGTTAGCTTTACAGTTTGATAGAGTCAGAAATGGCATCATGGTTGTTGTACGAGCATGGCTCAAACCCCATGTTTCTTCCTAAAGGACAGACTCTTTTTCTTGGTATGAAAAAGCTGAGGAGTAGAGGGTCTAACTTGACTCACAGGAACTTTCTTTGGCTTGTATTAAGAAACTAGAATTTTAAAGGCTACATCTTCTGCTGCATTTTCTTCAAGACTGTCCTTCCTTAAGAAGATTATTAAAATAAATTTAAAAACCCAACAATTTTATGAAGTGTATGAAGTGTAAAATTTCATTTTATTCTCAGTGCATGGAAACTGTATATTTGGCAAGTTTTTTAACATGTCATTACTTTAACGCAAATGGTTAGAGAGTATATGAGAGATTAATTTTGGGTTTTGTTTTAAAATATATATCCTTCTCCAATAATTATAGGTTGCTTTTATTGGTGTAATTATTGTAGCCATGTGCACATTGACTAGTACAACCTGTGGGATCTCAGCCTCTCAGGGCTGGGGGACAGAGTGAACAAGACCACCCCTGGGGGGCTCGGGAGTCCTGGAATGTTGCCAGAAATGTCTGGTGGCTGGACTTTAATCCCACATGGGAGATGACATCAGTATGAGGATAGGAGGATTTCACCGGGGTGAATGGTGAAGGGATAAGTTAATTGGAGTGTGAGATACAGGGTTTAAGATTTCTGTACAGGGGGGTCTAGAGAAGTAAGATGGAGGAATTGGGGCGTGCCCTTCTCCTTCTTCTTCTTCCTCTAGGCCTCCATCTTCTGTGGTGATGTTGGCACTCCGGGATTGGACCTTACTAGGGGAACACTGGTTAATAAGAGTAGAGGGTATTGGAGAAAAATGATAAATATTGTATACGTAACTCCAAGTATAAAGATAGGTGACCGCCCCAGGGGCTCTCAGTGTGTGCCCATGGCTGACTGCTGAGCAGAACTCTGTCAGGCCAAGAGAAAATCTTTTAGATAAGCATTTAATAAACACCGAGACCGAGAAAATATCAGAAGTCCCTTCTCGTCCTTTGGAGCGCGGGCGACCCAAGGCCATCTTCGGGCTTTTCCAGACCATCTAAACAGCCCAAAATCCGACACAACCTAGCATTGATGAATGTTATAAATTCTGACTTTGGGAATATCTTTTAAGTATGGTGATGTCATGGTTTAACCCCAAGGAGCAATTAAGTACTACACAGCCACTTTCTGACTTACCCCCATCCTGGTGGGATGATGAGGAGAATCAGGAACAAAAAATAAAAAACCTGTAGGTTGCCATAAGAACAGTTTAATAATTGAAACAAGTATAATAATAACAACAATAACAATAACAATAACAATAACAATAGCAATAACAATAACAATGGTAATAAAAAGGAGAGCGCGACAGATAAAACCCAAGAAAAACAAGTGATCCACAATACAATTGCTCGCCACCTGCTGACTGATGCCAAACCTATCCCTGAACTGTTATTGACACCCATTCTGGGTAACTCCCACAGTTTATATACTGAGCATGACATTCTGATGTGAAATATTTCTCTGGCCAGTTCAGGTCAGCTGTCCTGGCTATGCTCCCTCCCAGCTTTTTTGTGTAGCTCTTCACTGACAGAGTGTGAGACTGAAAATTCCTTGACTTCAGGTAAGCACTACTTAGCAACAACCAAAAGATTAGTGTGTTATCAGCATTATTCTCATACCAAATCCCAAACACAGCATTGTAGCAGCTACTAAGAAAAAAAAAAAAAAAAAAGAAAAAGAACTCTATCCCAGCCAAAACCAAGACAGGTAAAAAGGGGTATGAAATGTTGTATCATACTACTGCATCACATTCCTAAGGTCAGTTGCTGTACACTGTTGACAAAGAGGTCTTGATGTCTTGCTAGCATGACATCATTGACCTGATGGTCTTGAATAATGTACCAAATGTCATCTGTTACTAATTCTTCCTCTTGCAGCATAGATTATAGCAATTTTTTCCATATCTATAGAGAGTAAAACATTATTTTTCAGCACTGTTCAATCTTTAAACAATAAGCTGCCAAAATCTGTGTTGAAAGAGCTTTAAGAGAGCCTGAAACTGGGAAAGAGGGAACATCCAGGAATAAATCTAGTCTTCTTGACCAATTTAATTTCTCAGATTTTGTGGAGAAGCCCATTGACACCTTCAGAATTCCACTGCACAGATCAGAGGACAATATTTTAGTTTCTCTATTCTCTCTGTGGTTGTCTGATGTAGAATCTTTATGAGGCTCCTTCATGTCTTCTCTACTGTTTGATAGGAAGGAGGGTTTTTTCCTTGCCATTCATCAATAAAATTTTAGAATTTTTCATTTCTGTTCAACAAATGTTGAATTTTGTGTGTTTAATCAGGGAAACTGGCAACATTTATAATGAAAAAGATTGTAAATATGTATTCTCTTAAACTCAGAAATTCTCTGGAATTTGAAGAACTAGGTGACCTCTTGCCCAAGCAAAGTATTCATCCAAGATGATGGGATAGTCTGTGGGATTTAATTAAACAGCCTTTTTTTCAGTCTTCTGAGAGTGAACTCTGTGCAACTCAAACATAGGGACAGTATACTCTCGAGAGTCATTTAGTATGTCTGCACAGCTCTTAGTATAGTGAGGTCTGACTAATGGATGCAACTTTTTTTATTATAATGTTTATTATGGTAATTGCAGGCCCAATTCAGTACATGCTTGTATGATTCTCAAAGCAGCTTGAGAAAATATGGAACACACTGTCCAAGAAGATACATGCAAGAGAATGTCTGTCAAAGCATTTGTGTGTTTTCACTTGAGGAATTTGAGGTCTAATCCTTTGCCATGTGTAGTGAAAAACAATGTACATATTGACATTGCAGGCACCATGACCAGATTCAAACACTCTTTTTGTGCTTTTATCAAGGAAATGGATTGTCACAGTGGTATTTGTGTATCGTGTATTCTGCTGCTGGGCAATTTATGGACGATTTATGATTCCCTGAAAAATAGGATTGAGAATGGAAATGCCAGCAGATATTTTCTGATACTTTGTAAAGCAGATCTTAGCAGACTCCTTTATAATACCAAATCTTGCAGAGATGTTGTCAGGTGCTGATGAAAAATGAATAACGGAGTTTATTAACTGATGGCCAAGACAACAGGCAACATGACTTAAAATAGGCACTCCAGTGCTTGCCTCTGTTTTCTCTGTCAAATACTGATGATAGCTTCCATCTTATGTTAACTTCACAAGGACAAAAAATTCAAACAATGAGTTGTAACATATACATGCTGGAAAAGGAATTGTGTATCTGGTAGTGAGAGCAAGTGGAGAATATTGGAAAGACATCTGTTGAAATTGCAGCTGTTGCTACCAGCCTTAATTAAAAAAAAGTTTCAGCTGCATAAAGCTGAATATCCTGCTTCACAAAAGATGAAGTAAAAGAATTCTGTGTGTGAATGAAGCCATTGAGGGCCTTTCTGCAAGATTTCCACACCTGCCATTTTGTCCATCAGCTTCCACCTGGGATACATGACTCTATAATTGGTTTGTATTCAAGTCCTTATATAGATTAAAATCTGTTGTAATTAAGGTGCAAATGAGACCATATGCCAAAGTCAACAACACGGATTTTATTTAAAAATAAATGTGAGGTAAAGAGATGGAAAGAAATAAAAAAGAGGAGAGAGAGAGAGAGAGAAAGATATCAAGCAGAAGATAGTCACCACCCATGGATCCAGTGGTGTCCTGTTGGTCCTTCTTCATCCTGGGCTTCTCGGTGGTGGGGGTCCCCAGGTCATTCTTATGGTGGTACCACCTTTATCCAGTCCATGTTCTGGGTATCCACAGAGGCATATTCCTAATTTACATGTGAATTTGCATGCTAAGCAAGGATGGGTGTGTCCTGTGCATACTTCCTCCAAGATTTCAGGGGGCTTTGGTAGTTGTTGGTGACTGCAGATGCCTTATGTCCCATAGCTTGGGGTGATCTTTATTTGACTGGTGATATGCGTATAAGCAGTTGCTTCCTTTCACACAGTTCACCACAGTGGGAATTTTCATCGGGATGAATTAACCAGGATGTGCTAACCAGATCTTGCCTCTGCCAGGCCTGGAATTAATGCCTTCCTGTCACAAATTCCTCCCTTCTGTGCTTATTTCAAGTTTCAACTGCAGTGGCTTCTCTTGTGGCAAATTCCTTCTGTGGCTTTGACAGTGTTTGAGACAGGTGGCAACTGTGCTCTTTAAGTCCTTACAACCCCTCACTACAGGTGTCCCATCCCAGAGTGAGACCAGGGGAATTCTGGATTCCTAGGGCTAAATTAGATGCAAATGAGGCCAATATTACACCTGTGAACTGTTTAATGATAAAAGAAAATAAATGGCCCTAACAGGGGGATAGAAAAGTCAGAGAAAAGAGTGAGAGACAGTGTTACTGCTACGGCATTGCTATGGTGTTCGTGGCACACTGTTGATGCTTGGTTGGCAGGTGACGTGTGTGTGCTGCAAGCCAAGTTGACGCAGCACTCGCAGCACGATTCTAACAGCCTGAACTGCATGCAACAAACAGCGGGACGCTCAGTAAGCGACACGATGCTTG